TCGCGTAGGTCGGCGCGGACGTGGGCACGTAGGACGGCGCGGACGACGCCGACGGCGCGGACGTCGGGACGTACGACGGCGCGTAGAACGACGGCGCCGGCGACGGCAGGGGCGACGGCGGCGTCGTCGGCGCGTAGCTCGACGGGTCGGGCGTCGGCGGCCGGCTGTGCGACGGCGCATACGTCGGCACGTAGCTCGGCGCGGGCGACGGCGGCGTCGTCGGGTCGCCGGACGGTACCTGTGTGGAAATCAAATCTTCAACTCGACTTCGATTTGACCGAGCTAGAGAGGTTTGAAGTCTGTTTTTTTCGACGCCGTTCCAGTACGGGCGTCGGCTTCGACGTCGGCACGGTCGAGGGCGCGTAGAACGTCGGCGCGTAGGAGTAGTTCGACGGCGCGAGCGTCGGCGCGTAGGTTTCGACGTCCGTCGGCGTCGGCGCGGGCGTCGGCGCGGACGTCGGCGCGGGCGTCGGCGCGAGGCTCGGCGCGAGCGAAGGCGCGGCGGTCGCCGTCGGTCCGTAGGTCGGCGCGTAGGTCGTCGGCGCGTAGGTCGACGGGCTCGGCGACGGCGCGTAGGAGGACGGCGTCGGCGTGGGGGCTGCGCTGCGGCTCGGCGCGTAGGTCGACGGCGGCCGGGACGTCCGAGTCGGCGCGTAGGTCGACGGCGTGGGCGTGGGAGGCGGCGACGCGGACGGCGCTGCCGACGGCGCTTCCGAGGGGGCCTCGGACGGCGCGTAGGTCGCGGTCGGCTGGTACGACAGCGACGGCACGGGCGTCGGCGCGTAGGTCGCCGTCGGCGCGTAGGTCGGCTCGTAGGTCTCGCCGGTCGGCGCTTCCGACGGCGCGCGCGACGGCGCGTAGGCCGGCGCGGCCGTGGGCCGCGCCTGCGGCGCCGACGGCGCGGCGCTCGGGCTCGGCGGGCGCGGCGACGGCCGAGCGGTCGGTGCGCGCGTCGACGCCGTCGGTATCCGCGTCGGGGCAGCCGTCGGCGCGGGCACGGGCGCCGTCGTGGGCGTGCAGGTGAGCCTGACGTCGCGCACCTTCTTGACGTGGTTGCCCCGCGCCGGCAGCGCGGCGAGCCAGAGCCAGAGGAGCCGCATGAGCTCACGGCATGGCTGCGTCCGCGTTCTCCGGGCTGCGTCCTTGCGAGGTGCTCATCGTTCCTCTGCTTTGACACTCTTTGACGGTAGTTTTGGGGCAGCTTCGACAAACCCAACCCAAGATTCGTGGGTCAACGTGCACAGATCTTGCACACGCTTGACGTGATCATCTCGACTATGCCTCGATCGCTCCGATCCATGCTGCTCATAGCATCGGCCGCCACGGCCTTCGTCGCGCCGACGTCGCGCGTCGCCGCGCCGCGCGCCGCGCCCGTGGCGTCGACGGCGGCGGAGGTGTCCATCGCCGCGTCGCAGCAGCTGATCTCGCTGGCGGTCCTCGCCGTCGGCGAGGGCGCCTGGGCGTCGCAGGTCGGCGGCTTCCAGGTGTCCAAGGCCATCCAGTGCCTCGGACCGGCCGTCGGCGCCGCGGCCATCATCGTCGCCGCGTCCGGCAGCGTGTCCTCGGGCGTCGCGGCGACGATGGCGCCCGGCCTCGCCGCGTCGACGGCCGGCTGCATGGTGCTCCTCGCGTCCTACGGGTCGCGCCTCGCGGAGAAGCAGACGGCGCCCGAGGGCATGGCGCCGCCGAAGGAGATCGTCGGCCTCTTCCTCGTCCTCGCGTTCTTCGGGTTCTCGACGGCCGTGCAGTCGTTCTTCGCGGCGGACGTCGTCCAGGTGCCGTCGCTGCCGAGCTTCGGCGGCGACGCCCTGCCGGACCTGCCCGCCATCTAGGGTCCGCTAAGTTAGTGCGCCGCGAGGAGCGTCGCCGCGGAGCCCACGGCGAAGGCGCCGAGCGCGGCCTCCGCGCGCTTCTTGCGCCGCAGGGCCTTGTTCGCCTCCTTGCGCTTCTCCGCGCGCTGCTGCTTGTCGACGACGGCGGCGTTGAGCGTCCCCACGGACGGGGCGAGGTGGGCCTCGCGCGGCGCGGCGTCGTCGCCGTCCGCGGCCGGCGCGCGGTGCAGGCGCGCGGCGAGGCCGCCCGTCGTCCGCGGGGCCGCGGCGCGCTCCGGCGACGCTCCGGCGGCGTCGTAGAGCGCGGCGTTGTGCGGGGCGGGGCGGGCCGGCGACGCGGCCGCGGGCCGGCCGGACCGGACCGGCGACGCGGCGTCGCGCGGCGTCGCGGGCCCGCCGGCCATGCGCTGGGCGAGGGAGACCCCCGCCGACGAGAAGCGCTCGCCCTCGCGCCGCCGCCGGGGCCGCGCGCGCTCGCGCTGCTCGCGCTTGCGCCGCGCGGACGGCGCGCGCTTCGTGGATCCCGTGCCGGGCGTCGCCTGCGAGTCGCGCGCGGACGACGACTCGAGGCCGGCGTCCGCCAGCGACGCCAGGGGCAGCTTGAGGCGCGCGTCGAAGGCGTGGGCCGCCTGCGCCGACGGGCAGGTCCGCGGGCCGGGCTCGTCGCGGAGCACGTTGTCCCAGGCCATCTCGTAGGCGACGGCGGCGCCGGCCGTGCCGGCCTCCAAGTCCTCGGCGGCGAGCTCGAGGTCGCCCCAGGGCGTCTCGTCCGCCGGCGAGATCTTCGCCACGGGGGCCCGGAACGCGCGCAGCATAACTCCCCCGGGTCGGACAGCCACGGAGCGCCCAGATGCCGTACGTTGTCGCAACGGCGTTAATTTAGTACGGCATCCGGAAACCTTGAAGTTAGCTTTCACGCGAGGTCGGGGTGCTTGAGGATGGCGAAGAAGACGTAGCGGTCCTCGTCGCCGTCGTGGGCGACGGCGTGCTCGAAGGAGTCGTCGAAGACGATCGCGCCGCCGTCGCCGCCGTAGCCGCGCGCGTCGCCGCCGACGGTGAAGGTGACGCCGTCGGAGCCGCGGAGCGCGAACTGCAGGATGAGCCGGCGGTTCGTGACGCCGCAGTGGGGGAGGATGCGGGAGCCCGGCGCGAGCCGGAGCACGCAGGCGACGACGTCCGTGCCGCAGGGGTTCGGCGCGGCCGGGTCCGCGGGCGCGGCGCCGAGCTCCGCGGCCGCGGCGCCGCCCGGGCCCCGGAGCAGGGACGCGAGCGTCGGGCAGAGCGCGCAGTGCGCCTCGTCGAAGCGCCGGCCGTCGTAGAGCGGCGGCTCGCTCCAGGCGCCCGCGCCCGCCGCGTCCGCGGCCGCGGACGGCGGCCGGAACGGCGCGGACGGCGACACGAGGCGCGCGAGATCGCCGCGCGCGGCGAGGCCGTCGACCTCCGCGAGCACGCGCGCGCGCGTCGCGGGGTCCGCGTAGGCCCGCTTCAGGCGCCGGACCACGTCGAAGGCGTCCGGGTCCCAGAAGCGGCGCGCCGTGAGCCCCGGGAAGTAGACCTTGGGCGTCTGGTCGACGCGGTCGTAGCGCGTCGCCGCGAGCGGGTGCTTGTTCGCGAGGGCGCGCGTCGCCTCGGCGCGCGCGGCGTCGCCCGCGCGCCGGTAGTAGGCGATGGCGCTGCTCGCGGCCGTGTTGAACGCGTCCCTCGGCGACGCCTCGTCGACGGCGTACGCGTCCGCGCGGCCGGGCGACGCGGCCTGCTGGACGCACCACTGCGCCGCCTTGGCCGCGCGATCTAGAGCGTGCCGTAGACCTCGACCAGTTTCGCGTAGCGCATGAGTTGGCGCGCGGGGTCGAGCTTGAAAACCGCGAGTTCCTCGAGCGCGTCCGCCGCGCGGCACGCGTGGTCCCACGCGGCCTCCGTCAGGGCACCGCCGGACGCGTCGAAGGCCGCGACGAACGCCGTGTGCTGCTCGCAGCCGCGCATCCACGACGCCTCGTACGCCTCCGGGAGCCGCGGCGCGCCGGGCATCTCCACGAAGCGTCTGGTCTCGCCGTCCGCCGGGAACGACTTCGGCGCCGGCGCCGGCCGCCGTGCCGACGTCGAGGCCGACGCGAAGAAGACCTGCACACACGCGCCGAGACACAGGAAGCGCCCTGCGGCGAACATCGAATCGATAATTCGTTGAGTCTCACACACAGAGTCGTTTTTTGAAGCGGTGAGTTGGCAAATTCGCTTGTGGCGAAAGAGTCGTCCCCGGGCGATCCTTACTAGTGGGAGTATATCTTGCCGTGGGTCTCGCCCGGGAGGAGCATGCAGCGGGACGTGTCCGGCGGGCGGTACGTGTCGAGGAACGTGTTGCAGTTGCCGCGGTAGCGGTGGTCGCGGTCCTTGCGGCCGTCGTTTCTCGCGAGGGACGCGAGGAGCGCGTCGCGCTCGGACTCGATCTCCGCGAGGCGGCCGAGGAGCTCGGCCTCCTCCTTGGCGCCGACCTCGTGCCACTCCTTGGCCGGGCGGCGGTAGGTCCGCGGCGGGCCCGTGTCGATCGACGCCGCGGGCGCGTCCGTCCGTTTTTCTTTGGGCCCGCGGTCCTTGCCCCGGCGGGCCGTGCTTGGTTGCCAGCGCTCGGGCTCGCGGAACTTGGGCGCGCGGCGGCTCACGGCCTCGTAGGCGAACTCGCCCGCGCGGAGCGCGTTCGACACGTCCGCCATCATGACGCCCGTCGACGTGTGGACCGCGCGGCGGTAGTCCTCGGACCGCGCGGGCCGGAAGATGGCGTCGGGCTCCGGGCCGCGGCGCTTCTTCTGCTCCAGGAGCTTCTCCTCGCGCGAGATCTGCTCGCGGAAGAAGCCCAGCTCCGACGTCCTACGGTGTTGGTTTTTTTCACGGTGATGCAAGCCCGACGACAAAGAAGAAGACGCCGCGGCCGCGCGAGATGCAGCGCGCGTGCGCGTTGTCCTCGCGGATCGACATGCCCGCGCTCGTCGCGCCGCTCGGGTTGCTCCGCGAGGGCTCGTAGAGGGAGCTCATAATATATCGACAGCCGCGGGGGCGTTATTACCCGGACAACACTGGCTAAATATCCAAACTCGGCTGCCCCCGTGTCAAAAAAATCTCGGCTGCCCCCGTGTCAAGCAGGAGGCCGTCGCCCAGCCCTACAGAATATCTATCATGGCCGTCAAGCTCGCCCCCGTGCTCGCGGAGTTCGTCGCTTTGCTCCTCTTCGTCTTCATCTGCTGCGGCTGCGCGACGGGCGTCGCCGGCGAGGCCGGCTGGGTCCAGCAGGTGTCGCTGACCTTCGGCCTCTGCATCACGGTGCTCGCCTACACGATCGGCCACTACTCCGGCGGCCAGATCAACGGCGCCGTGACCGTGGGCCTCATGGCCGCGGGCGAGCTCGAGCCCCTCCAGGGCGTCTGCAACATCTTCGGCCAGCTCTGCGGCTCCCTCGTCGGCGCGGGCCTGCTCGGCGCGATGGTCAAGAAGGAGAGCGACCTCACGGGCGGCCTCGGCTCCAACGGCGTCGGGTCCGGCTTCAGCAACTCCCAGGCCCTGCTCGGCGAGATCGTCATGACCTTTTTGCTCATGTACGTCGTCCTCGAGACCGCCGTGTCGAAGACGAACAACAAGGGCGACTTCGCGCCGATCGCCATCGGCTTCGCGGTCTACCTCGGCCACGTCGTCCTCATCCCCATCGACGGCTGCTCCATCAACCCGACGCGCTCCTTCGGCCCCGCCGTCGTCGCCACGGTCCAGGACCGCGGCTCGAAGCACTTCGAGGACTTCTGGGTCTTCGTGCTCGGCCCCGTCATCGGCGCGCTCCTCGCGGTGGCCCACTTCAAGGCCATGACCAAGGCCGCGCCGGAGGTCCCGCCGGAGGACACGAAGATCGAGCTCCCGAGCCGCGACGAGGAGGCCTAGAGCGAACCGCCGTCCCCCAAACGCGAGAGCGCACGCGCTCTGCAGCGCAGCCCCCCGGAATTCGCTCCCACGCGCCCGCTTTTTTCACATAGAGCTACGAGGCGCCCTGGTTCGCATGCTGGCTCTCCGCGAGCCCCAGCCAGCGTCTCTAGTTAGAGGGTCCTAGTGACGTCGTCGGCAGGGCCACACAAGGGGCCGACGGGTGCGGGTCAGGGTTCTTGGCCGACGGAGCCCCGCACCTTTACCCTCACCCTCCGGTCCGAAACCCTTACCCGCACCCGTTATCACGGGTCCTGGGAATTTGGGCACCCTTACCCTTACCCGCGGGTGGCACCCTACCAAAATCCTCTAATTTAAAAAAAAAATATATGGAAACCGCCGAATTTGGATTCGGACGCGCAAATTAAGCTGCTTTTGGATCGACCCGACAACCTGGCAGCTGCATTACACGCCCTCGAACGGAAATCAGGAGGTCGGCCAGGCGCGGGACACCCTCGAGGGTAAGGGGCGTCCCTCGCACCCGTGGCTTTTCGTCGGTACCCGCACCCGTACCCGAGCCAAGGGTTCTGGGAATTTGGCGGCCCCTCACCCTTACCCTCCCGAGGGTTTCGCGGGTTCTCGGGTCGGCCCCTCGCCCTTGTGTGGCCCTGGTCGTCGGTCGCGGCGCTGCTGAGGCTGAGGCCCTCAAGGCCGAACGAGCCCGCGGCGTCTTCAGGGACGTTCAGCGTCGCGAAGAAGCTTCCCGTCGGCAGTGGCGGCAGCGCGATCGAACTTTCCACGGCGTCGAACACCGCTCGAATCGAGGCCTTGTCGCGCGAGGCGAGAAGTTGACGGGCTCTATGAACTTCTTGGAACAGACGCATCTGCCCTTCCTGGCTGAGAACGTCGCCCAAATCTCGCGGTCTTGCGGACTCAAAATGCTCAAGAGGATCCTCGATGGACAGGCGCCAGGCTTCCGGCATCGTCGAGGGCTTGTGCGTGACCGTCCCGAGCCGAGGCGATACGGTCGCTGAGACGCCAAGCCCATTGCTCAAGGGGTCAAGCTGGTTCGAGAGCCAGGCAAGGTAATCCTCGAAGAGCTCACAGCCTTCAAAGTAGGCCCGCCCGCGCGAGCGGTGCGCGGGGCCGAAGACGCGAGGTTGCCGAATGATCCCGGACTGGTTTCGCCACAATCGTCCAGAAAGCTGATTCCCGGGCAATCCCTTCGTGTAGCTGACATCGATGCCGTCGACGAGTTTCGGCGCGCGGTGAAGCCGCTGAAGACTCGGCAGAAACCGTATCGCCTGCAAGTACGTGATGACGAGCAAGGCGTGCGCGTACGGCGAGGGCGTGCGCTCCCGGTAAACCGTCGAAACGCCTCTTCTTTTGGCCCATGACCGCACAATCACGAGTAAGAACTCGCTCCTTGGATCCAACTCAGAATACCCCTTGATGAGTAATGAATTGTAGCGCTTGACAGGCTGACCCAGGCTCAAATCGACACGAAGAATGTCGAGGCCGTCGACGTGGGCCGTAAACCGCAGGAGCGGCACGCGCGCGTTCAAAACCAACTGGATCCCGACTAGGTCCAAATCACAGTCCTCCAGAAAGTGGTGGACCTCCACGATCGCCGCCGGGTCACCGCGCGCGAGCTCGGTGTGTCCGTGCGCGACGAGGTCGACGTCGGAGTTAGGACCCGCGAGGCCGGACGCGCAGCTGCCGAAGAGGTCGACTTGTGCACCGGGCCACCGCCGCGCGAAAAGACCGTCAAGTCGATCCGCGAAAGAACGAGCGCTATCGAAAAGGTTATGGGGTGCGGAAAAAAAATAGTGAATGAGGTGGAGGAAGATGTCGTTATCGAGAATCTCGACTCGTAGCTTATTCTTCTGTGTTGCCTCTTGCTCTTCTTCTTCTTTGGTTTCATCAATTGATTTGAGTCTTTCAATCGAGTCGTCATGCCGCGGCCCGGGCGGTTTCGATCGAGTCGCCATGCCAAGCGGCTCAGGGAAGGTGCGGCAGAACCGGTTGGCCGGCCCTCCTCGACCCAGTACGCGGCGAGGCCTCCGACGTCTCTCAGGAGGCCTCCCAGGGGAGCGCCCGTGGCGCCGTCTCCCGAGGACCTCGCGACGGTAGGTCTGAGCTAGTTAGGACGGCTGGCCGCCGACGGCCTGGTCCTTGGGCAGCTCCGCGTAGAACTTCGCGCGGACCTCGAGCATGCCCGGCACGCGCGTCGAGACGCGGTGGTGGTCGTCGCCGGCGCGCCCGCGCGGCGTCGCGTCGAGCACGAGCGTCAGGGCCCGCTCGCGCACGAGGTCGTTCTCCGACTGCGCCGTTTTGAAGTAGGACTCGTAGGAGGACAGCGTCCCGACGTCCGCGCGCGCGTTCCGCAGCGCGCGGCGCCGCTTCCGCGCGAGGTCCCGCGCGCCGTCGCCGCGCTGCTTGAGCTTGGCCGTCCAGGGGTCGGCGGGGTTCGCCGGCGGCGTCGCCTCGAGCAGGCCGCCGGCCTCGCCCCAGGCCTCCCTCGGGATGGCCGGGTCCGGCACGACGAGGACGCCGCGCTTCTGCTTCGCGACGTGCGCCTCGCGCAGCGCGTGCGCGTCGGCCTTCTCGAGGTCGCGCACGGCCTCGTGGATGCGCACGTCGTAGCGCGTCGTGTCGAGCATGGACATGATGATGTGGCGGAACTCGCCGAGGTTGGAATCCGCGTGGTCGTCGAAGATCTTCGCGACGATCGCCGCGAGCGGCACGCGCTGCGCCATGGCCGACAGCGTCTGCTGCACCAGGTCGTTGACCATGGCGTGCATGAGGGACGCGTTCGACGGCAGCTCGCGCGACAGCTGGAGGGACCGCTTGCCCTCGACGAGGCGGTCTAAGGTGGCGAACCACGCGCCGTACGGATCCGCGTCGCTCTGCCGCTTCTCCGCGTCGCCGTGGCGCCGGCAGAGTCGCAGGGCGACGTCGAGCATCTTCGCCGCGGCGACGCCCTCGGGCAGCGCCTCGAGCGCGGCGCGGCCGTCGCTGAACTCGGGCCGCGCGGCCTCGGCGCGGCCCGCTATTGATTTCCGCGCGGCGGGCGACGTCGGCGACGCGGTGCAGTGGAGGCTGAAGCGGCCGTCGCGGTTCGCCACCCGTAGGGCCGACCGCAGGTCCTCGAAGCGCTTCTGCAGCGTCGAGAGGATGAGGCGCAGCGCCGCCGTCGCCTCGCCCGTCTGCTCTAAGAGCAACGCCGTCGCGTCGGGGATGCCGCGCGCGCGGCACAGGTCCAGGATCTCGTCGACGTCGTAGCCGTCGTGGGCATTCAAGTAATCATAGACCTTCTCCGGCGCGAAGTCGCAGAGCAGGTGCACGTAGAGCGTTCTTTCCGCGTCGCCGACGTTGACGAACGCGTGCGCCTCGCGCGCCGCGCCCGCGGGCGCCTCGTCGGCCCGGGCCACGAGCGCGTCCAGGAACGCGAACTGGAGGCGCGGCGTCGCCGCGAGGCGCTGGAGGCTCATGGCCAGGTCGTCGGGGAAGTGGTCGCAGCAGAGCGCCGCGGTCCGTTCGCCGTCGAGGTCCGCGAGCTTCGGCAGGCAGTCCAGGACGCACTGGACGAGGGCCGGCGGGAGCCGCGCGAGGCCGCTCCGCTCGCGGAAGCGGCGCAGCGTGCGCGACGCGTAGGCGAAGACGCGCGCGTCCCCCGGGTCGCCGACGTAGCACGCGAGCGATAACGCGAGCGCCTCGGCCGAGTCGCGCTGGAGCCGCGGCGTCGCCAGGTGGCGCGCGTCCGCGAGGTCCCGGAGCCGCGTCGACGCGACGAACTTGCGGAGCGCGAGGGCGTGGCGCGGCTTGCCGTGGTCCTTTGCCAGTCGGAGGTACGCGTCGACGTCGACCGTGGCCGCGTCGACGACGCCGAGGAACCGCGGCAGCGTCGCCCAGACGTCGAGCGCGTCCACGGGCTCCCCCGCGACCTCGTCGAAGCCGCCCTTGGGCGGCGGCGCCGCGCCGGCGACGAACTCGAAGTCGTCGTCGTCGTCGTCGTCGTCGTTCTCGCGCGCGCGGACGAGGTGCGCCAGCGTCGCCCGCGCGACCTTCCGCGGCACGTCCCCGTGGACGTCCAGCACGCGCCGCGCGGCGTGGCCGGCGACGAAGTCGAAGAAGGCGACCCGGTCGTCGGCGGACGGCGCCCAGGCGCCGTTCTGGTCCGACTTCGCGCCGAAGAGCTCCGCGCCGTCCGACGAGTCGTGCTCGCGCGCGCCGAGCGCGAGCAGCGGCCCCTCGAGGAAGCGCCGGCGCGTCGGCAGGCCCAGGTGGCGCGGCGCCTCGACGACGGACGCGCGCGTCGCGTCGTAGGGGTTCGCCTCGGACACCTCGGACGCGAACGCCGGCCGCAGCGGCGCGAAGGACAGCGCCACCGAGAAGCAGTCGAGGAGCGCGCGCGCGTCGACGCACATGAGTAAACGCACGTGGGCGTAGGCCGACGCCCGGAAGCCGTCGGGGCCGCCGGGCCCCGCCGCCGTGACCTTTTGCAGCAGAAAGTGCAATATCTGCGGGCGCACGCGGTCCGCGACGTCGGGCTCCAGCGCGTCGCCGGACGGGAACGCGAGGCCGCCGAGGCAGTAGCGCACGTAGAGGAGCGCCTGCCGGCCCGACGCCTCCAACGTCGCGCGGCTGCCCGCCGCCGGGGTCGCGAAATACAACTTCGACGCCTCCTCGTGCGCGCCGTCCAACACCATCTCCAAGGGCGCGACGTAGTCCCCGAGCCCCGCGCTGTAGACGCGACACAGCGCGCTGTAGAGGCGGTGCGTCTTCAGCAGCGACGCGAGCATGTTGAAGTCGAGCGCCGTCGCGTCCAAGTGCAGGAGGCAGCGCTCGACGGCGACGAGCGCGCCGCGGTCGCGAAAGTGTTCGACGAACGCCTTCATGACCTCCGGCGCGAGCCGTCGCAGCTTCCCCGACAAGACGTAGGGCTCCAGCAGATCCAAAAAGACGTCGGCGCGGTCGCAGCCGAGGAAGGACTCGTAGATCTCGCCGAAGAGCACGTCCAAGCGCTTCGTCTCGACGCAGAACTCGACGCAGACGCCCCCCAGCATCTGGAAGTGGGACCGCGCCAGGTCCAGCGCCCCGCCCTCCGTCGCCCGCCCCGGCGCGTTGTCGATGGCCAGGGCCACGTAGCGCCGCAGCAGCTTCGTCGCCTCGTCTCCCCGCGTCGGACGCCGCCGCGTCGTCGAGCGCGAGCGCGAGCGCCTCGAGCCACTCGCCCGCGTCCACCAAGGCGTCGACGCGCTGCTGGGGCGTCTGCAGGCGCACGGTGCAGAGCTCGCTCGCGCCCAGGCAGTAGACCTTGTCGCTGTCCACGCGGATCGCGTTCTGCGCCGCGGCCGACTTCGCCGCCGCGTCCGCCGCGGCCGCCGCGGGGTCGTCGAAGGCGAAGTAGGCCGAGAAGTTCACGGCGTCGAGCTGGTGCCCCGTCGCGCCGTCGATCAGACGCAGCGCGTCCGACGCGTCGAGCACCGCGAAGCGGCCGCCGCGGCCGACGAAGCGGATCGCGACGGCGGGAAACGGCAGCTTCACGCGCGCGAGCTCGCCGTCGCCCACGGCGTCGCAGACCGACGCCACGGCGAAGCCGCCGTCCTCGAGCGTGCGGTCGGCCTGGAGCACCATGACGTCGGCGCCCCACGCGCGCGCGAGCCGCGCGTTCCTCGTCGCGTCGTCCCACGCCCAGTCGACGGCCGGCGCGGCGTCGGCCGCGCCGTCGTCGGCGCCCTTGGCGAAGGACCGCGGCCACTTGTGGAGCACCTTGACGCCCGGCTCCAGCGCGACGACGAAGGACGCCTTGTCCGAGCTGAAGGCCACCAGTCGCCGCGCGTCCGCGTCGAACGCGCACGCGTCCCGCGCCCAGGGCGCGCTCGGCAGCGTCGCGAGCGACGGCGCGACGCCCGCGGCGCCGTCCAACAGGCACTCGACGTCGGCGCCGTAGGCGCCGAACATGGCCTTGGTGAAGCCCAGCTTGTTGACGACGCCCGCGCCGTCGACGGACACGACCGCGGCGTCGTCGTCGCGGTAGAACCGCAGCGCGGCGATGGGCGCGCCGTGCGCGTCGTCCAGCGTCTTTAGATTCGCGCCCTTGATCACGTCCCAGAGCGCGACCTTGCCGCTCGCGTGGCCGCAGGCGACGAGGTCGCCCGACACGCTGAGGTCGACGGAGCTCACGCCGTCGTCGGACGCGGTGCCCAGCACGCGCCGCACCTCCTGGAAGTGGTCGAAGACGAGCGTGAGGCCCCGCGACGTGCCGATGGCGACGAATTTCGCGCGCACGGCGAAGGCGCAGGGCAGGCCCGGGCCGTGCGCGCGGTACTGCGCGTTCTTGCCCAATTGGCGGGAGATCGCGCCCATCGTCTCCGCGCGCGCGACGCCCCGCCCGCTCGCCGCGGACCGCCGCGTCGCCGGCGCCGACGCGGGGGGCTCCCAGCCCTCGCGGCGCAGGAGCGCCGGCGCGCGCGCGCGCGCGCGCCGCTTCATCTGCAGCGGGCTCGTGACGACGTCGCCGCCGCCCGCGACGAGGCGGGCCTCCCGCGCGGCCGCGGCGGCGAGGCGGTCGCCGCGCCAGAGCGTCGGGCCCCTGGGCGGCGGCTCCGCGGCGGACGGCGCCCGCTCGGGCGCGGGCCGCGGCTCCGGCGCCGGCGCCGGCGCCGGCGCCGCGGGCCGCGGCGACGACCGCGGCGACGCGCGCGGCGACGCGCGCGGCGGCTCCGGCGCGGCGTCGTCCGCGGGCGGCGCGACCGGCCGCCGCGGCGCGCCGTCGTCGCCCTCCTCCTCCTCGCGGAGGATCTGCTGGAGCACGGCCCAGTCCCGCGCGGAGTACGGAGTCTCGCTCGTCGAGTACGCGCCGCCGTCGAGGTCGTCGTCGCTCGCCGGCGCCTCGTCGTCGTCCTCGCGGAGCCGCGCGTAGGACAGCGCCTGCGCGAGGCCCGGCGACTCGTCGCCCCCGAGCGCCTCGTCCTCCTTCAAAATGTCCTCCAGGGACAGCCCGGCGGCGGCGCCGTCGTCGGAGCCGTCGGACTCGGCGAGGATCGCTTCCAATTCGGAGTCCATGGTAGTAGCGCTGTTTTTCTGGTGCGTGCTACGCGCTCACGCAGCTAGGCGGCGCGCGCCGCGGCGCGTCTGTGCGCACACCATCGTGTGTGGCAGAAATGAGATCTCATTTTTCGAGATGATGGCGGAGCACCCCATGTGCTGAGCCGTACTGAGTGAGCCGCGCGCCGCGCCGCAGCACTGCAAAGCGCGCGCGCGCCGCCCGAGAAGCGCATGACCGCCTCCGAAACCCTCGCGGCGAACCTCGCGCTGCAGAAGCAGCTGCGCGACGGCCTGCGCGCCCTCGACGGCCGCATCGAGACCGCGGGCGTCAAGCGGCGCCACCTGCTGGACCAGATGCTCGAGATCTCCTGGCCGTCGGTGGACCCGGACTACGTCGAGGAGACGGAGACGCGCTGCGAGGCCGCGGCCGCGCACGCGAAGGCCGTCGAGGACGAGTTCGAGCGCGTCCGCAAAGCCGCGAAGCCGCGATGGAGCGCCGCCGAGGACGCGGCGCTCGCGTGCGCCGTCGCGTCGGAGCCGGACTGGGAGCATCCCGACTGGGACCGCGTCGCCGCCGCCGTGACGGCGCTCGCGGCCGCGCGCGCGCTCGAGGTCTGGGCTGTCGCCGTCGCGGACCGCGACGCGCGCGCGGCGGCCGAGGCCGCGCGCGTCGCCGCCCTCGGGCCGCCCGTCCCCGCCCTCGGGGCGCCAGCCGCCGTCCCCGGGGCGCCCGCCGCCGCCCTCGGCGCGCCCGCCGCCGCTTTCGGCGCGCCCGCCGGCGCTCTCGGCGCGCCCGCCGCCGCCCTCGGGGCGCCCGTCGCCGCGGGTCCGCCGCCCGCCGCCGCCGCGGACGGCGGCGAACCGCCGCGGAAGAAGAAGCTCGGCCGGCGGCCGGGGCCGCCGAAGGACCCGTACGCGACGGCCGCGGGCGACGGCGGCGCGACGGCGGCGCACTGCGAGCGCCGCTGGGCCGCCGCGCTCCGGCCGCGGGCGGGCCCCTTCACCGAGCTCGAGAACCGCATGCTCCACGCCATCGTCGAGGCGAACCAGGGCCACCGCTGGGACATCTGCGCCGCGTTCCTGAACCAGCGGGAGGAGGGCGAGCCCTGGCGGCCGGCGCGGACGGCCGTGGAGTGCCTCAAGCACTACCAGCGCCGCCTGAACCCCTGCATGATCGACGCGACGTGGTCCGAGGACGACGACCGGCGCGTCGTCGAGCACGTGAGGCACTTCGGGGCCAACAGCTGGCAGTTTCTGGCGGACGAGCTCGGGCGGCGGACCGCGAAGCAGTGCCGGGACCGCTGGCACGGCCACCTGAAGCACGAGCTCGTCGGCGGCAACGTCAAGGGCAAGTGGTTCCCCGTGGAGGAGCAGCGGCTCGTGCTGGCCGTGCACTTCCACTCGGACGAGGGCGTCGACAAGCTCGTGAACGCGCCCATCCGCGAGGAGGCGGGCTTCTGGCAGCGCGTCGCCGTGCACGTGCCGAGCCGCACGGCGTCGCAGTGCCGCGAGAAGTGGCACTGCTCCTTCTCGGGCGACTACAACGCCGGCGAGTGGGCGCCGGCCGAGATCGACGCGCTCGCGGCGGCCGTCGACGCGCACGGCGTCGGCAACTGGACGAGGATCGCGGGCGACGTGCGGACGCGCAAGGACTACCAGTGCAAGCAGAAGTACTGGGACCTCCAGGGCAAGGGCCTGCTGGGCCCCCAGAGCGACGACGACGACGACGACGTGGACGGCGCGCCGACGCGCGCGCTCGAGGACGCGCTCCTCCTCGACGACAGCGACAGCGGCGACGACATCGAGAGCGGCGACGACATGTCGGAGGGGTAAAGGGCGGTTCAAACAACGTCCGACGCGGCGGGGTTAGGTTAGGCTGGCGCGCCTAGCCCTGGGTGGCGAAGGCCTCCTCGAGCGTGCGCTGGCCGCGGATGGGCGGGTTCATCTTGAAGATCTTGAGGATGTCGGACTGGGGCAGGGAGCTGAGGTCCTGGGGCGTGATGAAGATGAACTGGCGGTTCTCCATCTTCTTCGCCATGTCGACGAGCTCCTTCATGGCGACCTTGCGGGAGACCTGGTCCATGAAGACGTCGAACTCGTCCATGACGCGGAACGGGCACTCGATCGTCGCGCCGAGCGAGATGAGCATGGCGAGGGTCGAGAAGGAGCGCTCGCCGCCGCTGAGGGACGTGATGTTGTTGATGATGTTGGCGTCGTCGGCGTTGTCCTTCTGGTACGTGAGCCCGAGCGTCTTCTCCTTGTGCTCGAAGTCGAGCTTGCCGGCGGAGCCCTTGGCCTGGAGGATGTTGTCGAACTCCCTGTTGGACCGGCGGCAGATGTACTGGCGGATGCGCTTGAGCCGGTTCCAGCGCTCGTGGGCGTCCTGCTTGAGCTGCTCGCCCTCGCGCTCGATCTGCTTGCAGCCCGACTCCTTCTCGAAATACGCGTGGCGCGCGCGGTCCATCTTCTCCTTGGCGACCTCGGGGTCGACCTCCGTGACGCCGCGGCGCTTGAGGGCCTTGGCCTTGATGCCCTCCGTGTGCTCGATGCGCGCCTTGACCGCCTCCTGGGACTTGTACTTTTTTACGTCGTCGGGCCGCGCGACGCCGTCCCAGGTCTCGCCCCAGAGCTGCCGCGTGTAGCGCGTGGCCTTGTCGACGACGTCGCCGTGGCGCTTCTGCTCCTCCTCGACGGCCTCGGCGTGCTTGGCCTCGGTGCGCTTGGCCTCGTCGCGCTTCTTCTCGGACTTCTCGAGCACGCGCTTCGCCTGCTGCTCGATCTGCACGGACTGGGCCATCTGGTCGTGGATGCCCTCCATCTCGGCGATGATGGCCTCGTTGCGCTCCCGGTGCTGGGCCTTGGTGGCCTCCAAAGGCTTGAGCTCCGCGCGCGCGTCCGCGACCCGCGACTTGGCGTCCGCCAGGGCCCGCTTGTTCGCGACGATGTCCGCGTCGCAGTCCGCGATGTCCGACTCCAGGCCGTCCGTCGGCTCGACGACCAATTCCTCGTTCGTCTTCGCCACGGCGTCGTCGCGCGCGGTCCGCGCGTCGCGCAGCTTCCGGCGGACCAATTGCAGGTCGCGCGCGGCCTTGTCGCGGCCGGCCTTGGCGCGCGTCGCCGCCGCCGCGGCGCCCTTGGCCGCCTTGGACGCGTCGCGCGCCTCGGCCACGAGCGCGTCGGCGCGGTGGCGCGCGTCCGCGGCGTCGCGGCGCGCGCCGGGCAGATCCGCGGACGCGTCGACGCCGATGAGCGCCCGGCGCCGCGACGACCCGTTGCGGAAGAACAGGGTGCCCTTCTTCGCGCCCGTGCGCGCGCCGCCGTGCACCAGCAGGTGGCGCACGCCCGGGAGCTGGTCCCACATGCCGCCGCGCTGGACCATGCCGCGCTTCTCCGCGTCGGCCTTGTCGTCGAAGAGGCACGTCGAGTCGACGTCCGACAAATCGACGAGCGCGTTGAAGCACGCGTCGTCGTCGACCTTGAGGAGCGACGCGACGGTCGTGAGGCCGTGCTCCTGGACGAGGTCGCGGATCTTGTGGCGGGGCCGCGGCACCTGGATGATCAGCTTCACGGCTTCCGCGCAGTTGAGCTTCCGCGCGACGTCGTAAAACACCTTCTGGTCCTTCTTCGAGCCGACGATCCAGGACGCGAGCTGGCGGCCGCAGCAGTCGTCGATGGAGCCCGCCCACTTCTTCGCCGCCGCGGACGCGAGCTTGACGTGCGCGCCGATGGGGCCGACGGGCGGCCGCTCGAAGTCGCGCGACCGCCGCGCGAGCTCCTTGGCGAGCTGCGCCTGGTAGGCGCCGAAGGCGCCGAGGGGCGACGCGGCGGCCTGCTCGAGGTGGCGCACGGTGCCCTCGAGGTGGTCGGCCTCGGCCTTGGCGTCGCGGTTCTTGGCGAGCGCGTCGCGCTCCGCCGTCGCCGCGGCCTTGGCCGCGTCGTCAGCGGCGAGCGCGGCCTCCTCGAGGCCCGCGCCGCCGCCGGCGAGGTCGGCCTCGTCGGCCTCGAGCGCCTTGAAGGCTTGCTCGAGCTTGGCGACGGCCGCGCCGGCGGAGTTGGACTCGAACTTGGCGGCCTCCTTGGCGTTGCGCTTCCGAGCGTCGCCCAACTTCTGCTGGAGCCCCTGCTTGTCGCGCTCGCTGTCCTTGAGCGTGAACTGGGCCTTCTTCTCGACCTGCATGGCCTTCTTCACCTCCGCGTTCTTGAGGCCGATGGCCGCGCTGACCTTGCTCGTCGACTCCTGGCACGCGGCGAGGTCGACGTCCTTCAACTGCGTGAGCCGGTCCTCGAGGCGCTGCTGGTGGGAGCCGTGCTCGTCGCCCTTCAGCTCCGCGAGCTTCTTCGCGCAGTCCGCGACCTTGGCGTCGTACTGCTCGCGCGCGGCCGCGGCCTCGGCGAGGTGGCCCTCGGCCGCCGCGAGCGTCTTCTCGGACGCGCGCGCGGACACCCAGGCCAAGGTGACCTTGAGGTCGCGGATCTCGTCGTCGTACTTGGCCAGGCGCTTCACCTCCTCGTACTCCTGCTCGGCCTGGGTGAAGAGCCGCGCGAAGTGCTCGAGCTTCGTGCGCTGGTGCGCGGCGTCGTTGAGGCACTTGTTCGCGGCGTGGTTGACCTTGGAGATGCGGTTCTGCACGTCCTGGATCTCCGTGGCCTTGAGGAAGAACTGGTACTTCTCCTTGCCCTTGCCCCGGATGAAGTTCTTGGAGTTCTCCTGGTCGAGGACGCAGACGGGGTTGTCGACGCTCACCTTGAGCGTGTCCAGGATGAAGCGGAGCTCTTTCTTGTCCTTGGACTTGCACGCGCCGTCGGCGCCGAGGAGCTGGAGGCTCGCGGGGCCCCGGCGCGAGAACCGGCGCTGGATCGTGATCATGTCGCCGTAGACCTCGGGCTTCGCCGCGTCCGAGCCCTCGTTGACCAGCGACACGCGGACGAGCGCCTGGCCCTCGTAGCCCTCGCGGACGAGGTCGCCCATGCGGTTCCCGCGGTGCGTCGACTTCGCCGACGCGCCGAGGCAGATCTGGAGCGCGGCGAGGATCGCCGACTTGCCGCTGCCGTTGGCGCCGTTGATGAAGTTGATGCGCCGGCAGGGCTTGATCGTCAGCTTCTTGTGGCACATGAAGTGCTCGCAGTAGATCTCGTGGATGATGCCCGCCGACGAGCTGCTGTCGCTGTCGTTGCGCATGCGCCGCACGAGCCGGTCCTCGGCGGCGTCGTCGTCCTCCTCGTCGTCCTCGTCGTCGTCGTCCTCGTCCATGCCCGCGTCCTCGTCCTCCGCGGGCGCCTCGAACTCGTCGTCGTCGTCGTCCGCCGGCGCCGGCGGCGCCGCGGCCTTCTTCTTCTTGGACGCGCGGCCCCGCGGCTTCTCCGCGGCCTCCTCCTCCTCGTCGTCGTCCTCCGCCGCCGGCGGCGGCACGTCGACCATGTCGTCCTCGTCCTCTTCCTCGGCGTAGCTCGCCTTCGACTTCTTACGCCGCGGCGCCATGTCGTCGGTACCTGCGCGCAGTTTTTCGTGATGGCGGCGCGTTCGGCAGCGTCGCGCGGTGCTCTGCGCCCCGGCCCCGGGCGCCCGCGCTCGTCGCGACGCCCGAGCCCGCGGGCGGCGGCGCGTCGACGGCGACGCGCTCCGGCGACGCGCGCGCGTCGCAGGGCTCGCGCGCGAGCGCGCCGCGGCCGTGCTCGGCGTTGGCAGCGTCACGCAGTGCTCTGCGCCCCGGCCCCCGGCACCCGGGCGTCGCGCGGCACGCACCTAGCGGGTCGAGCCTCGGTGTGATTTGAACGAGCGCTCCTGCGAAGCGTCCTGGTGTTGCTTCGACAGCGAGCCGCGCGACTCGCGACGCGCGCGACGCCGTCGGCCGGCATGCGCAAGCCTCGGACAGCGGACCGGTCGGACGCCTCTACTCATGCGTCCTGCCAACGTCTCCGCAAGTACAAAATAATACTCACAAGCTGAGACGCGCGAGCTCAGCCTTGGCGGGCTCGCGGACTTGATCGCCGACCTCGCCGCCCCTTGTGAGCGCGCGCGTGAACAATCGCCTGGCTTCCTCGAGGTCGACTTCGACGCACCAGCCTTGCGCATAGGCTTGCCCCAGGTTGAGCTCACTTTGGGCGTAGCCCTGGCCGGCACTGAGCTTCCAAAGGCGAATGCTCTCTTCAGGGCAGGAACCGGAAAGTTGTACTCCTAGATTGCACTGACCCAACGCGCTTCCTCGATCCGCGGCCATGCGATAGAGCTGTATCGACTTCATTTTGTCAAGTTTGACGCCTCCCTCGCCCGTACGATACATAGTGCCTAGACACACCATCGCGTCCACGTTCGCGAGCTCCACGGCGCGTTTGTAAATCTTCGCGGCCTTCTTCGCATTTTTCACGAGCCCGAGGTGGCCGCGGCGATACTGATCCCCCAAATGCTTAATCGCTTCAGGTACCTCATCTTCCACGCTGCGACGAATCATAGCCAGCACGTCTGCATCAGTTTCAGGTAGCGGCGAACCACAAAGCACACACGGCGCGTCGCCGATCTTCTCCTCGCAAGACGAGCAGATCCTCACGCAGCAACAGCTACGATGCATGGACCTTTCATTCACGTCCCATTCCTCGAGACAGACTGGGCATCGCGATCCAAAGCGCTCCGATAGAGGCGCCCGCTCCGGATTCGCCTCGCGCCGCAGACGCGCCGCCTCGTGCTCCGCGGCGATGCGCGCGCGGACCTCGTCCGCGTGAGAACGGGGCGCGGGGCCGTAGACTACCTCGCGCGGCGGCGGGGGCGGGGGGGTTGGTGCCTCCGCCCGCGCCGCCTCCGCCGCGCGCTCGTTTCGGATCTTTTTGCACGCCGTCCGGTGGCCTCGGTCGCGCCAATCAATTCTTTGACAGGCTGTCGAACAGTACTGGGTTGTTCCACATGGGCAATTTAGCAAGGTCTTCGGTCGCGCCCCGCAGATGGTGCAGGTCAAACGCAGCTTTAGAGCTTTCGCCCGGGCTTTGCGCTCCTCATATTCTAGTTGCTTTTTTCGCCAGTCCGGAGCGTCTCCGCGGTCCATTGTTGTGCGACCGTGATTGTGGAGGTCTGGGCGGGGAGGGTCGCGGCGTTGCGACCGTGCGGCTACTCGCTGTGCGGCATTGGCGTCTCTACCTCGTGCTGTTTTGCCCGTCAAAATCGTCAAATCGGCGACTCACCTCCGCCTCCCACGCCTCTGCCCAATCCCAAAAAGGCGGAAGGAAAGGTGCGGTAAAAGGGGGTTTCAAGACGCGCCTAGGCGGACGTGTCCATGGGGGCGGCCTCGGCGCCGCCGTCGGCGAAGAGGAGGTCCTGCGCGTCCGCGACCTCGGCGAGCGCCGTGGGCTTGCGCATGCGCGCGACGTAGACGCGGGACTGGACCGTCGTCGCGTCCGGGAGGAGGCCGATGACGCGCGCGAGGAGCGGCGTCGCGGCGGCGCCGGCGGCGGCGCCGAAGGCCGCGAGCGCGGCGACGAGGTCGTCGTCCGCGGCGGCGTTCGTCGCGAGGGCCACGGCGGCCTTGGCGGCGACGTCGGCGAAGAGCGCGAAGGTCGCGGCGTCGCGGGGGAAGGCGACGAGCGCCGCCGCGGCCGTCTTCGCGAGCTCGGAGACGTCGCGCGCGAGCGGGCGGTCGCGCGCGTCGACGGCCGCGC